AGAGCGCGCATACAAGGTGGGGAGGTTACCTTCAAGGCGTCGAGGCGTCAAATCCCTCACTTGCCCTCCTTCTCCAATCTTCCCTGCTCCCTCTACCAGGTTCTGAACCACCCCCCAACGGTGGCAGCGCACTGCTGGGGCAACGGGTGGCAGCTGTTTGGAGACTCGACCCTCAAGGTGCGATTCTGAGGGCCCTCCTTGCACCTCTGGTGTTCTCTTCTCCCCCTTCCCTCTATACCTCTTCCCTCCCTGTTCTCATCTTCCTGCTCTCTTCTCCTCTCACGTGTACTTTGCCCAACGTTCAGTTCTGAGGGCCCTCCTTGTACCTGCACCTGCTGCCCTCTCCTCCGTGGGGGCCTCCGTGCACCTGCTGCCCTCTCCTCTCCCTTCCCTCCACTCCCCCACCTGCCCTCTTATCCTCTCACCTTCCTTCTTCCCCTCTCACCTTCCTTCTTCTCCTCTCACCTTCCTTCTTCTCCTCTCACCTGTTCTTCTCCTCTCAACGTTCAGTTCTGGGAGTGACTTTTGAGAATTCTCAAAAGTCTTCTCCTCTCACCTGTTCTTCTCCTCTCAACGTTCAGTTCTGGGAGTGACTTTTGAGAATTCTCAAAAGTCTTCTCCTCTCACCTGTTCTTCTCCTCTCAACGTTCAGTTCTGGGAGTGACTTTTGAGAATTCTCAAAAGTCTTCTCCTTTCACCTGTTCTTCTCCTCTCAACGTTCAGTTCTGGGGCACGTGCTGCCCTCCGTTCGCACTGCTGTAGGTGTGGTTCTGGGAACCGTCCATGCACCTGGATCCCTCGCCACCCCCTCTTCCTCCTCCCCTCTCCCGTTCCTCCTTCCTCCCTGCAGGTGCGCTTCTGGGGGCTGTCCATGCACCTGCAGGGGCTGTCCATGCACCAGGTGCATGGATAATCCCCTTCCTCCCTCTCCATGCACCTGGTGCATGGATAATCCCCTTCCTCCCTCTCCATGCACCTGGTGCATGGATAATCCCCTTCCTCCCTCTCCATGCACCAGGTGCATGGATAATCTCCTTCCTCCCTCTCCATGCACCTGGTGCATGGATAATCTCCTTCCTCCCTCTCCATGCACCAGGTGCATGGATAATCTCCTTCCTCCCTCTCCATGCACCTGGTGCATGGATAATCTCCTTCCTCCCTCTCCATGCACCAGGTGCATGGATAATCTCCTTCCTCCCTCTCCATGCACCTGGTGCCATGCGGTGTGATCTCCGTGCTGTTATATCCACCCCTTCACCTGTCCTCTGCCATTAGGACAAGTTACCTGTTGGAGTAGGACGAGTCACCTGCTGGATCCAGATCGAAACTTTATACGTATCCATACACCTGGTGCCGTGCGGTGTGATCTCCGTGCTGTTACATCCACCCCTTCACCTGTTACATCCACCCCTTCACCTGTTACATCCACCCCTTCACCTGTTACATCCACCCCTTAACCTTCCCCCCTCTCCTTCCCTCTTACCCTTCCCCCTCACTGAAGGTGTGGTTCCGGGGGCCGTCCATGCACCTGGTGCCCAGTGGGGTGTCATCTCGACCCCCCTTCCCCCCCTTCCTATGCCTTCCGCGTGTAGTGAGTCGATTTTTGAGTCGACTCAAAAATCGACTCACTACAAGTGGGGTGTCATCTCGACCCCCCTTCCCCCCCTTCCTTTGCCTTCCTCCTCCCCTCCCCCGCTCCACCCCGCTCCCTGCAGGTGCGGTTCTGGGGGCCGTCCATGCACCTGGTGCCCAGTGGGGTTATCTCCGTGGTATTTGCTGATGGTGGGGGGGAGGAGGAGGAAGGGGAAGAGAGAGAAGCGGAGAAGGAGGAGGAGGAACGGGAAGGTTCTGAGCAGGGGCAAGGGGAATGGATTGAGCAGGAGAGGAGGGAGTGGAGAGAGCAGGGGGAGGGGGAGGAAGTGGAGGAGGAAGAGGAGGAAGGTGGTAGTGGCGGCTGTTGCGAGAGGGAAGGGAGGAAGCTGATGCAAAGGAAGAGGGAGGACAGAGAGGGGAGGAGGAGGGGTAAGAGTAGCAGGGCAGAAGAATCTGGCGGAAAAAAGAGCAGAGAAAGGGGGGATACCTCATTTTTGGAGGATGGAGGAGAGCGGTACGAGTGGAGCAAGGTGACAACGGGCATATACAACATAATAGTGGGGAAGCTTCAAGTGGAGCATTTCGGCACGATGCACATCCGAGGCAGTAAAGGGCTGTCAGTGCATCTGCATTTCAAGGAGCCGTCTCTGTTCGACCGCAGCAAGCACCAGGCGAGTGAAGGGCTGTGTGTGCGTGCGTGCGTGCGTGCGTGCGTTCGTGCATGCGTGCGTGCGTGCGTGCGTGCGTGCGTTCGTGCATGCGTGCGTGCATGCGTTCGTGCGTGCGTGCGTGCGTGCGTGCGTGCGTGCGTGCGTGCGTGCGTGCGTGCGTGCGTGCGTGCGTGCGTTCGTGCATGCGTGCGTGCATGCGCTCATGCGTGCGTTCGTGCGTGCGTGCGTGCGTGCGTGCGCTTATGCGTGCACGAGCGTGTGCGTGTGTGAGTGAATCCATGTGTGTTAGTAAAAGCGAGTGGTGTGTTTCTGCTTGTCCTGCTTCGATGGAATCTGTACTCGGTACGCTGCACTCTCAGTGCATCACTCCTCGCAAAAACCCACAAGGCATTCCCTCCTTCCTTCTCTCACCTCGTGCTTGCTCATCCCCCTCCAACCATCAGGTGCAGAACGAGCAGGGGAAGAAGCTGGCGAAGCTGCACGGCTGTTGTGTTATCTTGGTACCCACGCTCCCCAATGCAGTGGCCCACCTCCCCCCCTTTTCACCCGCCAACCACCAGGTGCATGGGCACGTGCAGAACGAGCAGGGGGAGAAACTGGCGATGCTGCACTGCTGTTGTATTCACTAGGGCACGTGCTATGATCTACCTACATGCCCTCACTGCGCTCCCTAATATGGCCCCTTCTCCACCCGCCGCCCACAACCGCCAGGTGCACGGGCACGTGCTGAACGAGCAGGGGGAGAAGCTGGCGATGCTACACGGCCGGTGGGACCAGCACCTGACGTTCACCCTCACTCACCACGGCAGGGAGCATTGCAAGCAGCAATTCAACCAGCGAGGCAGGCAGCAATTCAACCAGCGAGGCAGGCAGCAATTCAACCAGCGAGGCAGGCAGCAGGGCAAGAGGCAAATTGAAAGGGGCATGAAGCAACAAGATGCAATTGGGGCTGGGGGGGTGGGTCATGGGGCGCATAGGTCAGCTGCTCCGGGGAGGGCGTACTTGGGGGAGGTGCCTTCTGGGGTTGACGTGGCTTCTGAGGCGCGGCAAAAGTCAGCTGCTGTGGGGAGGGCGTACCTGGGGGAGGTGTCTTCTGGTCCTGATGTGGGTGGCAGCCGCTTGGATGAGAGAAATCGTGGACATGGCTGTGAGAGGGATGCTCTGACCCCAGTAGCAGCACCACCTGAGAACCCACCTGAGATGACACCTGAGCACCCACCTGAGCATGAACCTGAGAATTCACGTCAGCGTCCACATCGGCCACCACCTGAGAAACCACCTGAGCACTTTACTGATCGTCCAGCGACCCGATTAGCACCTCATTCGCTGTGGCATAAGGCTGCTTCAGCCACGGCTCACCAGCAGCAGCAGCAGCAGCATGGAAACAAGTACAACTTCTCGCCCTTTTGTGTCACACTCAATGAGATCACGCCAGATATTGCGGTGAGTTGCCCAACGGGTTTCACAGGGACTGGGCTGGTTCTGATTAGATTCAGAAAATGGAAAGATTGGGAGCTTTGTAAACGTGTTAGGCCGAGCTGAAGTTTAGGAATAAAGTCTGATGGATGGTTTAGGATCAGATCAGGGTAGACTGCAAGTTCCCAGGAAGAGAGAAATTTGTAAGACTTCAGGAATGGAATGACCGTGAGAGTTTAGGATCTTACAAGCGCACGATCAAACTCTCACAATCATTCTATTCCATGATTGGAAAAGACTGTGACGGTTCAGGGATAGTGTTGACAGCGCACATGGCATGACTTCCCCTTCTTGCTTTCATCCCTCCTCTGTGGGATGCACAGTTTTGGGACGCCTCATAATTCTCTTGGGACTATTTCTTCCCTGCCTTGCTTGCAGCCCTTCCTCCCCCCCACAGACTCCCGCTTTCGCCCCGACCAGAGGGCCCTGGAGGAGGGGGACGAAGCATGGGCGAATGAGGAGAAACGGCGGCTGGAGGGGAAGCAACGCAAGGTAGGAGACTGGGTCAAGAGGCTGGGGGAAAATGCGGCTCAAATGGACATGGAGGAGTGGGAAAAAGTGTGTTTACAATACCGTGAATCAGGTTTGACACTAGCAGGTGCTGCTGGCATATTGTTTTACAATGTCTGCATAATGCGCTTTTGAGGAGCTTTAATGTGCGTTAGCAATTAATCCTAACAGTGAGTCGACGTGAAATTTTAGTAAACTCACCTCCTCTGCATTGTTGTTGTGGCAGGCGCGGCAGGTGCAGGCGTCAGGTTGGGAGCCCAGGTGGTTTCAACAGAAGGCACCTGGCGGCACCTGGACGTACAAGGGAGGGTACTGGGAGAGGCGCTCAACCAGGGACTGGGGAGATATTCCCGACATCTTTGCTGCTGATAATAGCAGCAGTGCTGGTGCCAGTGGTGCCAGTGGTGCCAGTGATGTTGCTACCATTGCTACTCCCAGTGCTATCGTTGTTGCTCCTGCTGCTCCTGCTCCTGGGAATCCTCCTCGTCCTGATGCTGCTGGTGCTGCTGGTGCTGCTGCTCTGGTTGCCAGCCCCGATGATGCTGCTAGTGCCGGCTGACATGCTGCAGTTGCTCCTGCCAGCAGTGCTGGCGGCTGCGTTGTCACCAGTGCTGGTACGTGTAGGTGAGGCAGGCGGCCAGGGCATGGCATGGCATCCCTGATACCCTACTGATGACAGCAGCACTGCTGCTACTAGGGTGCTAGTGGTGGTGCTGGTGGCGGTGCTAGTATTTTTTTCTGCTGGTGCTGCTACTCCTGCCCCTCCTGCTCCTCCTCCTGCCCCTCCTGCTCCTCCTCCTGCCCCTCCTGCTCCTCCTCCTGCCCCTCCTGCTCCTCCTCCTGCCCCTCCTGCTCCTCCTCCTGCCCCTCCTGCTCCTCCTCCTGCCCCTCCTGCTCCTCCTCCGGCTCCTCCTCCTGCCCCTCTTGCTCCTCCTCCTGCCCTTCCTGCTCCTCCTGCTTCTCCCGCTTCCCCACCTGCTCCTCCTCCTGCTGCTGTTGCTGCTGCTGCGGATCTGGTTGCCAGATTGAACAGTGATGGCTAGTGTCCTGCAGTGATGGTCCCCTACTGATGCTGCTGCTGCTGCTCCTCCTGCCCCCCTTGCTCCTCCTGCTGCTGTTGCTGCTGTTGCGGATCCAGTGCCATCTCCACTAATGCTGGTTGCTATCCTGAAGTTGCTCCTGCTGGCATAACTGGCAGTTGCGCTGGCGGCACCAGTGATGGTGAAGTAGCTGCATTTCATCTGGTAATATGCTGGTATTAGTTCTGTGACTGCAGAAAGGGGAATTTAGTGGTTACTGTCACAGTTGTTTTGGGCGGGTGCTAATTAGCTGTGTATATAGTGATTTGGCCATGAATCATTAAACTGCCTGTTCTTGTACATTACATGTATTATGGCTTTCCACTTTGCTTTTCATGGATGATACTTAGTGATAATGTTCCTTCCTCCAACTGATTCAGTACAGCATCTTTGAAAAAGAGCTGTATAAATGAATGCTTCCTGGATTCATTACATCCTGCACAAATAACTGAATCACCGGCCATCACAGAAGATAAATGTTACTGACACCAAGTTTCCAACTTACTACTACCACACAACGCGTACGGGGCGAACACCTACAATAAATTATTGATGTTACTAGCCTACAATACTACCGTATCAGCAGCCCAGACACAACTGCCCAGCCACACAACTGGTGGCTAAACAGTCAATGGGCTGACCTGACCATGATGAATAGGACGAGACTGGAGCAGCGAGAAAGTTGCATTCGGGAACTTGGATGGAATCAGATGAGCATGCATATTAGCACCCCCCACACTTGCGATCTACACAAGCCCTACTCGCATTGCTCTCATGGCACAGGCTGTTTCGCTTCCACCTTACGCACTTCACTCTTCGTGCTAGAGCCTGGAGTTCCTGCATGTGAATGTGGCTTTTTCACATGGACCACCTTCTCTTGCTGCTGCTGTTGTTTTTCCTCGCTTGGATCCTGCTCTGTTTTTGGCTGCACCAGCTGCTGCTGCTGCTGCTGTTGCTGCTGCTTCTGCTTTTTCTGCTTATGCTCCTGCTGCCGATGTTTGAGCTTCTGCTCCTGCTCCTGCTGTTTCTGTTTTGGTTCCTGGTGCTGCTGCGGTTTTTGTTCCTGTGAACGCTCCTTCTGCTGCTCTTTCGATTTTTGCTGTTGCTGCAGAATCTGCTGCTCTTTCTGCTGCTGCTGCTGCAACTTTAGCTGTTCCTTCTGCTGTTGCTCCTTCTGCCGCTGCACTTGCTCCTGCTGCTCCTTCTCCCTCTGCTTCTTCTCCTTCTGCTCTTTTTCCTTCTGCTCCTTTTCTTTCAGCTCTCTCTCCCTCTTCTCCTTCTCCTTCTGCTCCTTCTCCTTCTGCTCCTTCTCCCGCTGCTCCTTTTCCTGCTGCTCCTCCTCCCGCTGCTCCTTCCCCCTTTGCTCCTTCTGCCGGTTCTCCTCCTCATCATCCGCAAATAAATCCTTAATTCCCGACCAGTCGTGCGCCCCTCGCCGCTCCCAGTACCCGCCCACGTATGTCCACGTGCTCCCCGGCCCCCCTTGCTGCTGGAACCATCGCGGGTGCCACCCCGGCTCGCCTGCCTTGAGCGCCTGCAGGGAAAAAGAAGAGGCAGGGATGTGGGGAGAGAGGATGATGAGTATGAGTGCTTGTATTCCCCCACATAAGTCCGCATGCTCCTTGGTCCCCCTTGCTGTTGGAACCATCGCGGGTGCCACCCCGGCTCGCCTGCTTTCAGAGCCTGCAAGGAAGAACACAAACACGGATTTTGAGAAGTGGGTGGGGGGAGGGGGGTGGGTGTGGAAGAGAAATAAAATGCAGGAGAAGTTGAGGAATAGCGCTGCTTCTGCTCCAGCCTAGACTTCTCCTGAATCGCCAGGTCATAGGATACCTCTGTTCCACACTACTTCCCACACCACATGCTCCCTCTCTTCATGCCTCCAAGCACAGCCGTAAACAAGCACACCCAACACCGAAAGCCCTCCTCTCACCTTGCGTTGCTTCTGCTCCAGACGTGACTTCTCCTGAATCGCCCGATCATAGTATCCCTCTTCCAACGCCCGCTGGTCCTCCCGCAGACGGGAATCCGTGGGGGGAAGGTGTTCCTGGGATGGGAAGCGGAGGGAAGAAAGGAAGCAAATGGTGAGGCGCCTCACAGAAACATCTCCCCCTCCAAGGCCCGCTAGTCCGGCCGCAGACAAGAATCGGTCAGAAGGAGGTGCACCTGTGATGGGGAAGGGAAGGATAGGACGACGTGAGCAAGGGAGGAGAGAGAAAGCAATGGTGAAGCTAATGAAAGAAAATTACCAGGAGGAAGGTGGCGAGAGTGACAAACACTAAGGAACAACTACTCACTTGGAGAAACTATAGACCACATTCGAGAACCTAAAAGGTGATTCACCTTGAGCCCCAGAGTCATCTCATTGGGAGTGATGCGGAAGGGCGTGAACTTGTTGTACTTGCAGGGGAAGGGCGAGGGGGCGCACTTCTAATGCCTCCTCACTTCACTTGGTTCAGCGTCAGTTCAAAAGCTCTATTTACAGCAACTCCTCCTCACCTCCGTAAAAGTAGAGAGCACGTTTCCATCTTGAGAGGCTATGGAGCTAATCCTCACCTTGAGTCCTGGAGTCATCTCGTTGAGGGTGATGCAGAAGGGCGTGAACTTGTACTTGCAGGGGAAGGGCGAGGGGGCGCACTTCTGCCACAGCAGCTGTGCTGTGGCCAACACCTCGCTCTCCTCCTTCTGCGACTTGCTGCTCAGCTCCCCCGGCACAAAGTGCAGAAACTGGTCCCACCGCCCCACCAGGGTGGCTTTTTCCTCCCCGTCATCACTCTGAACAATGCCCCTGACCTGCATTGTGAACGCGCATGGGAGCAGGGAGGAGAGGGGGAGAGGGAGGAGGGAGCAGGGAGAAGGGAAGGGATTTGGGGATGAGCTATGGCCAGCACCTCGCTTCCTCCTTCTGTGACTTGCTGCTCAGCTCCCCCGGCACAAAGTGCAGGAACTGGTCCCACCGCCCCACCAGCGTGGCTTTTTCCTTCGCATTGTCACTCTGCACTATGCCCCGCACCTGTAGTGGGTATGAATACGCATGGGAGCAGGGGGTAGCGGGGGAGAGGGAAAGGCAGGGAGGAGGAGAAGGGGAGACAGTAAAAAAGGGACAGGGGGAACAGGAGAGTTGCAGCTGAGCTGTGGCCAGCACCTCGCTCTCCTCCTTCTGTGACTTGCTGCTCAGCTCCCCCGGCACAAAGTGCAGGAACTGGTCCCCCTCCCCACGAGAGTTCCTTCTCCCCGTCATTGCTCTGCACTATGCCTCTGACCTGCATTGTGAACACGCGGATGGCAGCAGGGAGGAGAGGAGGAGATGGAAAGGGAAGTGGGAGCAGGTGAGAGGAGCGGGGCAGAGGGAAATCCAAGGAGTAGCAGGCGAGAGGTTAAGGTAGGGAGGGAAGAAGATGGGAGCTATGTTGCTGTGCCATGGCCGGCACCTCGCTTTCCTCCTTCTGCGACTTTGCTGCTCAGCTCCGCCCCCCCCCCCAATCACTTCTATTCTCTCCCATTTCGTTCTGTTCATAGAGTTTCTGATTTGTTTTGCCATATGGAGGGTTCAAGACCTCCTGCTCTCACACACCTCTCCATCCTCGCAAACACACACATCAACACACATACACACACACCCACACGCACACACACACACACACACATCAACACACACACACACATCAACACACACACACACACATCAACACACACACAGACACATCAATACACACACAGACACATCAACACACACACAGACACATCAACACACACACACACACCCACACGCACACATCAACACACACACACACACACACACCCACACGCACACACACATCAACACGCGCGCACACACACACACACACACGCGCACACGCACACACACAGACACACACACACACACACGCACACGCACACATCAACACACACACACACCCACACACACCCACACGCACACACACATCAACACGCGCACACACACACACACATCAACACACACACACATCAACACACACACACATCACACACACATCAACACACACACACACATCAACACACACACACACATCAACACACACACACACATCAACACACACACACACATCAACACACACACACACATCAACACACACACACACATCAACACACACACACACATCAACACACACACACATCAACACACACACACATCAACACACACACACACATCAACACACACACACACACATCAACACACACACACACACGCGTGCACACACACACCATTAGCCACCAAGGCACACACCTGGCTGGCAACCAATGACACACATACCTGATGGAGATTTCGGTTGAAAGTCGACCGCTCTTTGAACCGCAGCCTCGCCGAGAACCCCCACTTCCCCCGAATCCGCATCGTCCCATAATGGTCCACAAATGGCTTTCCAAGAATCAAATTCTGAATGGATACCGTCACGTTGCTCCACTCAAAGACAAACACAGGTACCTGGGAAAGCCCGCATACATACACACATGCATACCTGGTGGGGGTTCCGGTCAAAAGTGGGCCGTTCTTTGAGCCGCAGCCGTGCCGAGAACCCCCGGTTCCCCCGGATCCTCATCGTCCCGTAATGATCCACAAACGGCTCCCCGAGAATCAGATTCTGAATGGACACCGTCACGTTGCTCCACTCAAACACAAAGACACCTACCTGGAAAAACCCACCCACACACACATGCACACCTGATGGGGATTCCGATCGAAAGTGGACCGCTCTTTGAATCGCAGCCGTGCCGAGAACCCCCGGTTCCCCCGGATCCTCATCGTGCCATAATGGTCCACAAATGGCTTCCCAAGAATCAGATTCTGAATCGACACCGTCACGTTGCTCCACTCGAAGACCTCCCCGTCGTCGAATGCCACGGAGAGCACACCGACGGGGTCGAGCTGCACGGACGGCCCCCAGAAGCGCACCTTGAGGCACGCGTCCCCCCAGCTGCGCCACCCCGTGCCCTCACAGTTCCATGCGAGCGTGGGGGGATAGTGCAGCACCTGTGGGGGGGGAGAGGGGAGGGGGGGAGGAGGGGAAGGCACCTTAAGGCACGCGTCCCCCCAGCTGCGCCACCCCGTGCCCTCACAGTTCCACGCGAGCGTGGGGGGATAGTGCAGCACCTGTGGGGGGGGGAGGGGAGGGGGGGAGGAGGGGAAGGCACCTTAAGGCACGCGTCCCCCCAGCTGCGCCACCCCGTGCCCTCACAGTTCCACGCGAGCGTGGGGGGATAGTGCAGCACCTGTGGGGGGAGGGGAGGGAAGAGAGACGGGGCAAGGGCAGAGTCACGAGTGAGAATGATTCGTAGCAGCAGAAGGTTGACAGGCGTGTGCATGCGTGCATGCCTAAAGCATCCCCGTTTCTGGGGTGTAGTGGTGGTGCCTCTGAGATGTAACGGAACAACCATGAGATGCAACGGATCAACTCACCGCCTCTGAGACGTAACGGAAGCCCTTGTCGGGGCAGTCCGCCTCAAACGTCTCTCCCAGCAGCGGGTTGAAGGGCTTGTGCATGCGCCCAGCGTTGCCCGAGTAGCGCGACACTGCGAATGCTGCCACGTGCACTGCCCTCATAAGCTTGTTGCCCTGGCGGTTTAAGGGAGGGGGAGAGTGGAGCGGGTTGAAGGGCTTGTGCATGCGCCCAGCATTGCCCGAGTACCGTGACACTGCGAACGCTGCCACGTGCACTGCCCTCATTAGCTTGCTGCCCTGGTTGTGGAGAGAGGGGGGGATAGTGTGTGCAGTGGGCGGAAGCGAGCGATGTATGAGGGGATGACAGTGACCAGAGACACTGCAAACACTGCCACATGCACTGCTCTCGTTGGCCTGTTGCCCTGCTTGTCGAACAAGGAGAACAAAGTGCTTTCCTGCTCCATTGATGGAACTTCACACCAAGCAAGCAGCGGGCTATGCACTCACCCGGCGGCCGTACTCGGCAGCGCGGTCGAGCAGCCAGCTGTACTCGTATGTCTCGCAGTACTTCTGGTTGGTGCTGATGGGCTCGTTGAAGCTCACAGGCAGCGACACCTTGAACAGGTCCTTGCCCACCAGGTCCTTGAGAATCGACCAGATGCTGACCGGCTTTTCCTCCTCCGCTGGCGGAGGCAGGCGCTCCCTTCGAGGTATCTTGGGGTACGTGAATCCCACCTGGTGGGTTGATGGGAATTGGGTGGTGGATTGGGCGGTAGGGGGGTTGGGGAAGGGTGGGGGAAAGAGCACGGGAAAGAAGAAGCAGCGACACCTTGAGGAGGTCCTTGCCAACCAGGTCCTTGAGAATCGACCAGATGCTGACCAGCTTCTCCTCCTCCGCTGGGGGAGGCGGGCGCTTCCTTCGAGGTATCTTGGGGTACGTGAATCCCACCTGGTAAGGGGTTGGAGATTGGGTGGTGGAAAATGGGTGATTTGGGGGGTGGAAGGGGAGACTCAGAAGGGAAAGAAGACACCTTGAGGAGGTCCTTGCCCACCAGGTCCTTGAGAATTGACCAGATGCTGACCGGCTTCTCCTCCTCCGCTGGGGAAGGCAGGCGCTCCCTTCGAGGTATCTTGGGGTACGTGAATCCCACCTTGTGAGCAGTTGGAGAGAGGGCGATTGGGAGAAAGCGAGGGAAAGAGCACGGGAAATAAGAAGCAGAGTCACCTTGAAGAGGTCCTTGCCCACCAGGTCTTTGAGAATCGACCAGATGCTGGCCGGCTTGATGCACACTCCCCGAGCTGACTCAGAGAATACAATGCACTTCCTTGACACATGAGGCCCAGCCATCCCACTCCCACATACCTCCTGAATATCCAGCACAGTCAGCACACTCCCAGAGCTGACGAAATCATCCATGGCTTCGAAAAACTCGTCATCCTGCCCGCCGCTGCTGCCCGACCCTCCCTCGTCCTCGTCATTGTCCCGAGCCAACACGTCGGCCTTGGCAGCGCGCCGAGCTTTGCTCCGAGCCCTCCCGGACCTGCGGCCGCTGCTACCAATTTGCCTTGACCTGAGGTCGCTCCCACTGCGCTTCAACAGCCCGTGACCTGAACTAGTAACCGCACTGCTGTCAGCCTCCTGATCACCCCCAGCTTCCTCCTCCCCTTCCGCCTCCTCTTCTTCGTCATCCTCTTCATCGTCCTCCTCCTCGTCCTCATCAAAGGTCGTGCTGGCATCATCGCCATCGCCAGCTGTGCAGGTGGGGTCACATAAGGGAGGAAATGAAGGAGTCGAGGAACAAGGGGTGAATGCGAGGTGGAAATGGAGAAAAACGGCGAAATAGGAACGGGATATGGAAGAAATAAACACTCAAAAGAGGAGAAGAACTGGGAAGAGGGATCACCAGAACCATTCTCAAGTCACATTAAACGAGGGTTAGAGGATGAGGCTGAGTGGGAAAACGAATCGAGGAAGGAGAACAAGCTAGCGGGAGGTAGACGAGATAAACCATCAAAAGGTGAGAAGGATTTGGAAGTAAGACGAGATAAACCATCAGAAGGTGAGAAGGATTTGGAAGTAAGACGAGATAAACCATCAGAAGATGAGAATGATTTGGAAGAGTCCTTAAAAAACATGTCACATCGACCAAGGAGGCGTTACAGGATGAGGGAATTAGGGGGAGAGGGAGAGAGAGTGAATGAGTAGCCTCGGGTGTGAGGGGTTGGAGATTGGCAGACGTACTCATGACGACGCTGTTGCCTGCATAACCCTGGTTCCTCGTCTCTTCCAACATGGCCGTTTCCAACTCAACCTTATCCGCTTCAAGCTGCCTCAATAACCGCAAAAGCTGCAACCGCCGCTTCTGCTCCTCCCGCAGTTTATTCTCCAGCCTAAACACCACTTGTCGCCTCACTATCTCCTCGCACTTAGCTATCTCCTCCACACCCACACTTATGCTCGCTAAGTACGCTCTTAGCGGCTCCATGGCCAGCGACGACGCGGCTACCAGCCTGGAATCATTTATCGAAGGAGCTTGTGCCGAGGCGCGAATCAACTGAAGGTGCTTCATTTTCGCGGCTTGAAGCGCGTCCATCCATAGTAACCTCCCGGCTTTAGATTCCGTCCTTAATCCGAGCGTCTTCGTCCCGAAAACGTAGAACTTTCTACCGTCGGTCGTGCTGGCTCGGAGCGTCGAAACCTCCAATCGGACGCTGCCATGTGGCATGCGATCGCCAAGCTCGCCTTCGTTAGGCACGACCCCATCTTCGCGCTCCTTCTTCACGAAATGGCGAATCTCATCACCGATCAGTCGGGCTCTAGGGCGACGCTCAAGCTCCTGTAACACGGTTACCCGATCAGGGCCCTCTAGTTTGAAGTAAGACAGCAGGCCCTGGTGGGAGACAAAGGCGGGATGCAGAGTGATATACGATATAATTATATGCTACTGAACAGAGACAGTTATGTCTCGCGTAGATATTAGTGACTCGAGATGCGTTTGGACCTAGGAAATCGGTCTTGGTGGACTGGAATTCAGAATTTCCTTGAAAGGAACCCATTGTTGGAAATGCAAGGGATTATCCAGGACCCGCCTTGGTATTACCGTATGATGACACTGAGGTTCATTTGGGTGCGACCTTCGTATCTCGCATACTTACACCAGGAGTTCTTTGGTTCTCACCTTGGATTGGCCCCCGGATGGCACTGGGAATCATCCGGATCCCACCTTGGAATTGCAGGGAGATATCTAGGTCTCAGGCTGCCACTCTTTGAACTTACTCGAAAATGCTTCGACATTTTCGAAAAAAAAAAAAAATAGTGCGACGGGGGTCTGTCCTATGTGGTCAATAAACAGGACTACTGCCGGGAAACAACCAGTTTTGAGAGTTCTCACATCGCGTACTTACCCCTTCCAGAACGAACAGCCGCATGCCCCAGCCTCGTCCCAGGTTCACCCACTTCCACAGAATGCCCATCACCACTTCCGCGCTCTCTTCCCCCACCGCCGCTGCCACTGCCGCCGCTTCCTCCGCCCTCCTCCCCGCCATCAGCTCCCCCCAGTTCCCCCCGCTTCCGCCGCGCGCGCGCGCAGGCACCAGTGCAAGCGACTGCGCGCTGATCCCCGCCGACGATGACGCTGCGCCTACCGCGTCTGCGGCAGGTGTCATGGTCGTCGCGCAAGCATCCAGCTCAGAAAGCAAATCGCGCGCTTCTTTGCTGTTGGAGCGGGACACGGATCCTCTCCCGTCGCTCCCGAAAATCCCGAGGCCTTTCCCGTCGCTACTTTTCCGCCGCTCGCGGCTCGGGCTCGGCCTGCTGCGGCGCGGGCTGAACCTTCCCCGTGTGCAGGATGGAGCGATCGCGTAGTTACCGCCGCTCGCGGAGGATTCGCTCTCTTCCGGCTCAAGCATATTAACGTCATAAACGGCTGCTGACGCAAAGTTCTCTTTGTTCCGTCTGCGGAACGGGTTCGGAACTATGCTGGACAGACGAAAACCTGACGGAGAAGATGCTTCGCCGGGAGAGGGTGATGGAGGGCGGACAATCTCCCCGCTTTCTCCGCCGCTCCTCCTGGCTCCGTTAACGCTGCTTCCTCGCGCAAACAGCTCATTGGCTGACGGGGATGACGTGGCAGCAGCAATCGCGGCAGTTGCCGACCGGCCAGCAGCGAGAATCGCGCTGGACGGCGCCAACCGATCCCCGCCGCTGCCGCTGCTGCCTATGCTACTGCGAAAGCTCCGTGACGGCCGGTGCCAGCTACTCGGCGTGGGAGCCTTCGCATTAGGCGAGAGCGGCTTTTCCGCCGGAGATTGCGGGCGCGGACCAGGAACAGAATCCTGCCACGTCATGGATTTCTGAATCACATGCGGCTGCACATTGCACAGAGCCGGGACTTGTGCACTGGGCGAGCGAAGAGCCGTTGTTCCCAGAAAATCGGAGGACTTGGCGTTGGCTATGTGCCGGCGAGCGAGATTAGGGCTAGGTAGGCGGTTGGGACTGGGAAGACGGCGAGGACTCGGCAGACGCCGAGGCTGGTCCGCGTCAGGGGGGCGAGGATCATGTTTGCGAGTCGACGCCATTGTTTTCGTTTGCTAAGGCGGCTGCAGTTAGCGTCTGCTACTCGGTTGCAGTTAGCGTCTGCTACTCGGTTAGCTCACGGTACGCGACGGTAGTTTCTTACTCACGTAGGAAGCTCATGAAATCACCCGTCGAAACTCCCCTAAGGACGGCATCGTTACTGGTTCACTCCTGAAAAACGGCACCACGGTTCTATGACTTTAATATCATGCACGCCAGGAGCTTCTTCTCTACTGAAAGGTCAAATCCGTCTCCTATTCTTTGCTCATAGAATACAGACGCCCCGGGCCGAAGCTTGAGTAGTTCCGCGATCCTAGCTGACTAGGCCCGATGTGGTCGCTAGCTCCAAGACGGGAAACTGCGAAAAGTATTAAGTCGCATCACACGGCGAAGGCTAAACCGAAGCAGCTAAGGTTGCTGCTGGGATAGGTGGTTGAGCTTCGATGAGCTTCGATGGTAAATGGGGTGATGAGAGGACGAGACGGGGGATGGACAAACGTGAAGAAGAGTCTTTGAGGCGCGCGGTACAGTAATGGGTGTCGCTAGGATGGCGCGATAAGTGGGGAGTATAACGGAGTTGTTGCAAACTGATGGCAAAGGTCTTTAGTTCTCTGCAAACGGACGGAGGGTGGAAACACTGCTGAGATCTCAGTTTGTGCGTGTTGTGCGGACTGATTGAGATGTTGCGCTGCTGACGGTAGCAGAAATTGACGGAAACTTCCGTCGCTGAGGCTGGTAGGTAACACGGGAGGGGGTTGGTCTGACTCTGGACTGCTTCAAGCACGCTTTTCGCCTGGTTATGGGGGAGCGCTAACTTGCCAGTGGGATGTGGGGGTAAGGTCTGGAGGGACTTGAAAGCAGGGTCGGGATTTCGAAACGAAAAATGCTGAAGAATGGTGGAAGGAATTCGGCACAAATTTCGACATTAGGGGTGGTGAGAGAGTTTGATCAGAGAGATGGGGAGGAGAGATAAGCAGTAGGTGTGCGTGTGGCACGACAAAAGCCGGGCAGGGCAAGAGCAGGATGGAGCCGCGTGTTTCTCAACGGCCGAACGAGGCGCATATTTGTCGGTGATCGCAATTTCTGCGGCTGGCGCAAACGGCAATTTTCATGCAGTGCAGCGATTGGTCAATTTGTTTTTTGGACGCTCAGCGTCGCAAGGTGTCTCAGCGGCGCCTCTTGCGGTTCGAAAAATCGTGCGCGGGAAAGTGCATGGATGGGTTTTGCGCTTGAACAACTGTCATATAACACACTGTAGATCCACCATCAAACCTGTGTGAACTGCTGGGACCCAGTCCCCGAGAGTAGCGCTGGAGGTTTGGCGATTGAAATTGTACCGAATTTGTAGAAGTGCTTGGAAAATATTCACAACTATAAGGAAAACTCCTTTTCCTCACTTCATGTCCCCGCTCAACGCGTACACCACTGTAGCACCACAGTTAGCACCGTTACCACTCGCAACCCTGGCATCGACAATCCTCCCACCACCTTCGCACGTCGCATCCCGAACTCACAGCTCGGCGAGTAACCCACGCTCCGGGCCTCCACCTCGACACTTTTCCCAGCTTCAGTCCCAGGCCCATCACGCGACGACAACAGTCCATTACCGTTACCACTGTAGTTTCGCTATATATTCTTCGCTCATGCCTTCGCTCATTGTATTCTTGCTTCGAAAGTGCAATTCTCGCTCGCTCACTCAATTGGACGCGTAACACCTGGTATTTAGAGCCTACGATCTCTTCTCGGACCGCACCCACACCTTCGTATCCCCACTATCTCATTTTTTTGGGGGGGTTAGACGTCTCTCAGCGACACAGCACCGCCGCTCGTAGTGCTCTCTCGTAAGCACGCACGGCCATGACCGAGGCTCTCGCTGAGCTCGCCCGATACCCCCGACATGGCCGAATTCACGCTCGCAACATCGACGCAGGAGAAGCTCGACCGTCTAGTGCGCCAACTTGAAGATTCGGCGCTCAAAATTGCGACGCTCACGGCGGAACGCGACTCCGCGCGTCGGCAATCAACGGTGAATACCCCGGCACCACCACACGCACCGACAAACGCATCTGCACAATCGGACGAGCCGATCGTCATTTCGTCCAGCACACCAACACAAAACAACAGCGTGGGACAGCGCTCAGGTGCAGCCAGTGATGGCGCCGCCCAGCCGATGCCTGGCATGGGAGGAAACAGGGTCGTACCAAGCCCGCGGGAGCCTCACGAAGCTTGTCGGCATGTGGAATTCGCGGCGACAAGTGGCAAACAGGCCATTATGGCACCGATGTTACTCAAGCCGCAACAACCGCCCTGTTTCGACCCAAGCCAACGTGGAGGTCTGACGGTTCAATCGTGGGTCTTCACGATGAATGTCTTTTTCGACGCGAATTACGTCGAGTCGGATGCAGCGAAGATTCGGTATGCCGTTTCGCTGCTAAGGGGCCCTGCCATGGACTGGTGGCGAGTCATCGCGACGTCGCCACGCGCCTACGAGCCACCGTCGCAAGAAGAAGGGCCCACGGTTCCAGCTGTCACCTGGAGTTCATTCAGCGAAACTGCCCAATACAGCACGTGGGATGCGTGGTGCGCAGGGCTGCGGGCGCGCTTCGAGCCGATTGCAGCTTCTATTTCGGCGCGTCAGAGATTGTGCACTTGGCGGCAACTCGGGTCGGTTCAAGACTACACGAATGGTTTCCTCGCATTGTGCGAGCAGGTTGACTACATGTACGAAGCGGAGTGGGTGGACCGTTACGTCGGAGGGCTGAAGCCGGACATCTCGCACGAGGTTATGCTACGCGGGCTCTCGAACTTCAACGAGATTCTCGCACTCGCCGAGAGAATCAACATTATACGCCGTCCGAGACCGGGGTCCTACTACGGACATCGTCCTCGGGGACCGATTGAGCACGCCACTATACACGCAGTTGCGATGAATGCAGCTGCCGCGCTGTTTAAGGGGCACTGCTTTGCTTGCAATAGGCCGGGCCATCGCAAGAGTGAATGCCCAGAAGAGCTAAGGCGCCGCGGAGCAGAGCAGGGGAGGGAGTCTCCAAGGCAGGGAAACGTTAGCGCTCAGTAGGAATCGGGCCAACTACTGACGAGACTGCCTACTCGCCCAACCCCACCGACCCTCGCCGAGTCACAGTACCGATTCATGCTATCGATCGGACTCGGACGAATAAGGAGGGTGTCAGAATGTTATTATCTAGCCTGTAGTGGGGTGCTCTATAGCGAGTACAATCCTGTTAGGGTTTGCTATATGTATCCCAACTGCTGCTAGTGAAACCTCCTTTGTTCATTTCTCTCTTGCCTAGCTAGCTAAACCCTAGCTATGGCTCCTCACTGTGCTTACTCTTGTAACATGCTATAAGAGCATCTACGCTCCTGGCCTGTGGGCCCACCTAACTGCTTCTGCTGCTACTCTGTGTGTTGCACGCCCCGTGGCGTGCGACGGATTTTTCTTCCCGCCGCGCGCTCGGAGCGTGCGGCGGTTTTCTGCCCGCCGTGCGCCTCGAGGCGCGCGGCGGTTTTCTGCCCGTCGTGCGCCCCGGGGCGTGCGGCGGTTCTCTGCCCGCCGTGCGCCCCAAGGCGCACGGCAGCCTTCTGCCCCGTCGGTCCGCACGTCGCCCCCGAGGGGCGCTTCGACGGGCGACGGGGACCAGCCCGTCGTCCCCCGTCGCCCGTCCCGGCCAGCGCGAGCTGCGCTAGCCCCGAGCGCGGCCCGTACGGGCTGCGCCAGGCCCGCGCGCGGCTCGGGCCACCTGCGTGCGGTTCGTCTGGCTGTGCCAGGCCCGTGGGCAGCCCGTTCCTCTCTGCCCCTGAGCTGCCCGCTGTCCCCCGTGCTTCTGACGGCGCCCCAACCCTGCTGCTGCCCGTTCTCCTGAATTAGGGTTTGGGGGTGGGGGTATGGGGGTGCAGTTTCTGTGCGCCATTCCACTACTCCTCCTCCTCCTCCGTCTCCCGCTGCTGCAGCTGCCGCTCAGGGGGGTGGGTGTGTGGGAGCCGAAGGAGTGGTGCTAGGGGGCTGTCGTGGGAGTGGAGCTAGGGGTGCAGCAGGGGGTGTGTGATAGGGGCGTGGGGCAGCTGGGGGAGG